CCAAAAAGTCCTAGACAGGGAAAACACTTCTGTTTCTCTTTGCCTTATTGAATTTCTTTCCCTGTTATAGCAAAGAGTAACATTTAATGATCATGCACATCAAGTTTCATGATGATATTACATGTTATAAGAAATTTATGAAAAAATTAAGAAAGAATATAAGTGTACACCGGCGCACGAAAGCAAGCGTAAATTACGTCTCTTATAACGTTATGATCTCTGTCTGCTTCACTCTTGGGTACTGTATTAACATTTAATAATTTTTTTTTAAGTGATAGACCACTCTTTATTAAGGGATATATTTTAGAATTTCACTACTGTCCGTTTGTTTTTACTTGTTTTTTTTTTTTTTTTTTTTTTAAGCAGATTCTAATTTCAGTCGAAATTTTGTCGAAAGATCGCCTTACATTGTAGGCAACAGAGAATACAAATTGTTTGACGTCGTTCGCAGTCTAGATTGTTCCCAATTTTCTGCGTGTATCAAACCGTACTCTTCTTCTTACATGCCGTAATTAAATATTTTAGGTACAGAAGAAAAACTCTCATTGAATATCATGCAATTTAAAAATAACGTCTTTATTAAAATCTGGTGTAAAATGTCACTTCTGTACTCTTTTTTTCCCGTCTCTGGTGTATATTGACCATATCCAACACAATTTATTATATCTCCGTGCGCCGACTACGCGTTTGACGACGTCATTTTCATCATACTCAATTTCAATGATACTATGAAAATCATGGCACCAATCATCTGTTTCTAATGATATTTATATGAAATTTTGACATATTATTCAGATTTTGATTCTGGGTTCAGTGATTCCAGTTTGAGTACAATGTTTTACATGGTACTAAAGAAATCAAAGCAAATATAATAGCTATATGCGTAAATTATTCCGAATTTTGTCCGTGCGCCGAGAGGCCTGATCGGCCTTCATATAAATCGTCCTAATATTATTAATATGAAAGATATGTATTTAAAAATTCACAATTTTAAAGAACATTGACTATTTTATGTCTATGCAAAATTTGGTCAGTCATGGTTGCATGTTTAAAAAATTATAAACATTGTCTACGACTTTTTGGGACAACCGTCGTACATCACGAGAAAAATCAACAAGGACTTCTTTTGTAGAGAAGAAACATTAATGAATTAGATTACTTCAAAAAATTGAATTAAAATTAAATGCACTGATGTAGAAAAAACATTTTCAAAATCTCTGGTATCAAAGTTCCTTTTTGGAGTTATCTTTCCTTTTGCTCGGGACTCAAAAACTTTGGCAAGTCTCCGCCTACGTCACCATACTATATTTAGTGATATACTGGCCACTGAACTGGACACAAATAAAAGAGGAAAACTAGATACGCACACTATTTTATCAATATTTATAAACACAAAATAAGATAATGTATTATTGAAACGTACAAATTAGTGTGCCGAAATTTCAAGATGTTCAACTATCAAAAAAGACATCGGTTGATTAGCCTGAAAGTGTAAATAACCTATACGTTTCTCGTCATACCCACCGGTACCTGTTGTCTAGGAATTATTATCTTTATTAAGGTATCAGATGTACAAATAGATAAAAATTAGTGCCTGGTGACCCCATTTTTTGATGTTCTAAAATTAATAAATGGGTCATGACAGATAAAAAAATTAGGTCATCAGGGGCAACAACTCTATCGGGGACTCTTGACCAAAACCAATTTATGTATAAAAAATTGAAAATTTTCGTTATCAAGAAGTTTATTTTTTCAAAGTTACATAATAATCATTTTCTTTCATAAAAATGAATTAAAATGAATCTAATAGTAATAATAAGATGTTTAATGTGAATTAATACACAAGAATTTTTTTAATAATTAAGCCAAAAATGTGTACATGGTGTAGAAAATGTGTACACACACAACAATCACTTATTATATTTATGAACCATTTCACCATGAAATAATACTGTTTTGAAAATTGTAAATATATGCAAATTAAATTTTTACTGAAAACATTTAACTCCATCGATAGTGAATTGTTTTCTTTTTTTAGTAAGTCATAAAAAATGATGCATTTCAATTCTTCATATTCAAATGCTGAAGGCCTTTTTTTCATTATAATTATGTATAATTATACATCTACAATTTAGTCAATAAAAGATACATATAAAACATGAATTTTCACCAGTAGAACTAAACCTGCTTAAATCAAACTTGCAAACATTCCACAAAGCATATTAATGGATTTTGGTACAAGTAAATATGCATACATGTATATAATCTATATATGTCTGTATGTTTATCATATGTACAGCCATAAAAATGACTCAAACATTCCACAGAACATGTATATCAATTTATATTGGTACAACTGAGTCAATCATGTAGCAGAAAAGAATATATTTATACATATATATGTAATATGTTTATCTATACAGAAATGAAAATGATATAAACTGTAAAACATATCAACTTATAGTGGTTCAACAGTTGAGCTACTAAAGTTTGCAGCACAGATATACCTTCTAACATAAGAACATCATCTACTGCACCGTGTGCATTGTAGTCTGGTAGACTAAAATGTCGTGCAAGGCACTCCTACTTGTAACTTGGAAGCTTTGGAACATTTTTTCTCATGACACTAAGAGAGTCAACAAATGCGGTAACAGTTTCTCGGAATACTTTCTGTAGGTTACACTTGTAATAGCACTACATAATACACGGAAATCAAAAACCCTTTTATTATGTGCCAGCAGCACGACATCCCTGAATTTCTTCAGCCACTCCAGGAAGTTGTCCAAGGCTTCTTTGATGGGAATTGCAGCTACTCTCTGTCCCCTCACATATAGAGATGTTCCATCGAAGACAATATCTGTCGCTCTCTCAACATTGGCATCCAACTGTTGTTTGGGAAGAACATATGTAGAAAATTTTTCCTTACTCTTTACATCGAGGCAAGCAATTCGTGTGATGTGAGCCAGAGGCATGCTGTTCCTTGATACTGGAAAAAGAAATATTATCAACAGTCATTCCACTATTAAACCAGTGCTTTATATAAAACATATATAATAATATACCTTCATGTTTTTTTAATGGGAAGAGATTGTGAATTATTAACAAAATCTTACTCAGTCCTGTTGTCTCCAAATTGATGACTACAAAATGGTTTACTAAGCTGTACTGGAGAAAATGAAGACTTGACAGTGGCATCAGGCACTCTGGTTATGCTCACATCAGTGCTCAGACCAATCTCTGTAATAGATTATTACAAATGTTTATGAATTTTCTGCTTATATGCAAGTGTATCATAACTAATACACATACTTGGTTATATAAGTATTAAGTGTACCCGATTGGTATGTTGAGCCCTTGGTAGCCTCTTAGGCCCCTTTATCTGTCATTTTCTCCTGCTTTATGATTAATTGTCTCTGTTTTGTCTCTGGAGGCTTGGCCTTTGCCCGCTTCTTGGGCCTATATGAGTCCAGCTCCACAGAATACTTCTCACTGAAATACAGTGGTGAAAGGGCATTTCGTTTGAATGTCTATAATTGATGCAATGCATGTTTATAAATATGAATCCTATCTTCCCTATATTAAAACATTCTGTCCTCTTTTCTATTCAATTTCTGTAGCATTTTTAAACTTACATACATATATTGTTCATTGCAATATTTATGTGTTAGTATAATGATAATAGAATATAAAAGTGGGTCATGTAAAGGAACTTTGTAAAGCAAGCTTCTATGGACATACTTTTCACTGTTGAATATTTACAATAGAATACATCATTTGATTTGCAACAATAAAAGCCGAGAAATAGGCAATCAACATACCTGCACCAACATTTTGTATTAATACAAAAACTTGCCATCCTCTTTTCATGCCCCTCGATCGTCTCTGTCAGTCTGTGCGTTTTGCCATAGGGATTCCTGTTGAGGTTCAGACTAAAGGTACGCTGTACGTATAGATGCCCGCCCAATCCAAGTTAAGTTTCATCTCACCTTTTATGTTTTGATTTTCATTTTTTAAAAAATTATTTTATTGATATACAGGTCTGCAATTACAGTGGCAGCATATTTCCAGAGCATCTATAACTATAATCCATTCTATAACGCGTCTGCCTTTTCTCCAACCGTCTGAACTAAACTTCTTGCTATTTATAACACTTTTCATACCAGGAAAACACGATTCACCACGTTTCACATATTTCTCCCTCACAAGTATGACCAGATATACAGTTGTGGTCCACTAACACATTAGTTTTCGGCGACTTTTTGAAGCGCCCTGATTTGTTTCGTTTCAGCATGGACACCGCCATATTGAAAACTGTTTGTAACGACGTCACGAGATATTTAGATATTTTGTGTTTTAAACTCAAAAAATTATTTTTGGGTATCAACTTTGTCATTAAATTGCTATATATGAGTATTAATCTAGTTGAATAAAAAAAAACATTCATTTTAAGATTTTATACTTTTCCCCGTAATCTACCGAGGTCGTTCCGGAAAATGCCGAGCTCTCGGTCTCAATTGTACATCCAATACCTTAACATAATCCAAGACGTCTGTTGTTCTGTTATTAAAAACTACCGCAATCTTTTTCATCGGTCACTCCGGCCGTGATCATGCCATGTGTTCATTGTTTACAAACGGTGGTAGGACAATTTGTTCCGGTATTTTTTCAATAAAACCGGAAGTAAAAGTATTTTTTCTCTATATACGTCACAGGTCACATGGTGTGGAGGACCCTTATATATATATATATATATATATATATATATATATATATATATATATATATATATATATATATATATATATATATATATATATATATATATATATATATAGCGCACAAAGAAATTCAATTTTACATGGAAACCCACTTCCGCCCCAGCCAGGGGTTGAACTCTCGACCTTCGGAATCTTTCTCCTAGCAGTGCAGGAACAGCGCGCTAGACCGCTTGGCTATATAAGGAAGATCCAGCTTTAATTTGTCGAAATAGGAAAGGTAAAATATTATTAAGGAATGTGAAAGCAAGTAAATTATGTTTCTACAAAAAAACATGAAGAAGATTTGTAAAAAGCCTTAATAGTTATACTTTTCATCGAAGTTTTTGCTAATTTTTTAACAGAACACAGCAAATTAGCAAATTTATTTTTTTTTTCTTATAGAGAAGTTGTAATTTTCTTCATTTAAGGTTTTCCCGCCAAGAGCCACTATTTCTATGGTTCTAGGTTGAAATCCTCTTATGTCGCAACTGCTATTGTGTATTTTTTGGACTTCCCCAGGTAATCATTAAATTTTGGATGTTTTTACTCAGCACATTTTTACAACAACGCATATTTACAATATTTTGCAAATATTTTTCGTCATATAAACACAGGTTTGAATTTCCAAGTATAACGTAAAGCTGGGCAAGTCTAGTGAATAGGCATTTTCTATATTATTATATGCGATACATCAACACCAGTGTATATCCTTCACATTCGTTAAACCTGACTAATTTATTTTTACGGGTATCGGCGTGGAATGACGACCCGTGTTCGTGCTGGTTATCTTACATTAACTTTGTTTACATTCTATTGCAGTTACGCATATATATATGTGTCTGTTTGTATACTGCACTGACTGCACTGACTTGTGAAACTTTTCTTTGGTTTCTTACTTTCCTGCATTGGAGGAAGTACAAAATTATTTCAGTCGCTAATTAGTATTGTACAGCATACGCCCGTGTATACCGGTGACAATGTCTTACACTGCACAATGACAAAGGGATTTAGTCTTTTTATAGAAGCATGCGGATATGGCGAGAGCTCGAATAAATATGGCAGACAAATGCTTTCACGAAATGCGTGCAGCTTTGAGATTTGTCTTTTAGAATAACAGAAAAATCTTCTCTCATTTCTTATTCTATGTACAGTGTTTCATATACAAATAGCATGAATTCTTTTATGTTCCTCTGTTATTATGCAAGACCAAAGCCAAGTCAACTAAGCTAGTTTTTTGATGGATTAAAATTAAAATAACAACAGTAGTGAAAGTGAAAAATTGTCATTTATTGAAGTAAATGACGCAAAACAAAATATAAACATATTATAAGGGGGTCAGACAAGACTAGAACAAACTTTGAAAGAATACAAAAATCTTTGGTAACATATTATGCAATCTGACCCCCTAAAATTACATATATCATAAAGCAGGCACTAATATGTCTGTCATCAAAAAAGGGTGGGTAAAAAAAAAATAAACGCCAAACAAATAAATATGAACACTAATATAAGTACATATATAACAAATATAATATAAGACGGTGGAAGAGAGGGGGATGGATGGAGGGTTTTTCGATAAAAAATTTCCTTGTAAATTTGTGTGGCTTTCTCCTTTGGTAAAAAATAAAACAATGGTCACGTGATTAGGAGAAGCCACGCTGATTGGCTGTAAATTAAGACAATGGTGTCATAGATTAAAATTAGGTAATTGATCCCGATCTAAAAAGTTATAAACATGAAACAACTTTACAATTACCAAGTAAAACATGATACCTTAGAAATAAATTAAAACAAATAAAACAATTATAGTTAATATAACTCTGTCACATAAAGGATATTATTATTGTAATAATAATAACTTATTTATTTAAAGCCGTTGTCAGGAGATGCTGAGCTTGCCCAGGTTTTTATTTTATTCTACGTAAACAATATTCAGTGCAATGTATGTACAGTGTTTCATATACAAATTGCATCAATGCTTTTATTTAAAGCCGTTGTCAGGAGATGCTGAGCTTGCCCAGGTTTTTATTTTATTCTACGTAGACAATATTCAGTGCGATGTTTGTAAAATAAATGGCTTGTAATTAATGTCAGATAATTAGCACACCCAGTAGACAAGCAGGGATATCATCACATAATAAAAGGATATCAGATGCTTGTGATCCAGCTTTAATTTGTCGAAATAGGAAATGTAAAATATTATTAAGGAATGTGAAAGCAAGTAAAACAGCGCGCTAGACCGGTCGGCCATCTAAGGAAGTCAAAAACCTGCTTTTGATGCCAATGGAATTTCTTGCGGCGCTGCCCTAGACTACACGGTCATTGAGAATAGAAGTGAAATACAGTTATTTGGACATAAGAATAATTTTAAAAGCATAAATATATATATATGCTTTTAAAATTATTCATAATTATTCATATTTATACATGTACATTGTACGAGTCACATAAATTAGAAAGTCTATGTTTTAATCAATTTATTTTGTAAATAAACAAAATACAGTATGTTTACATTTAACCAGTACATCATTGTACATTTTTACATTGTAAAAGGGATTACGCTACTATGCTGTAGTAGAATACTCCTTTTATTTTGCAATTTATACTCAAAAGTCTTTTTTCTATTTACTAGTATTATCTTTTGAAACTTTTTTTCAAGAAAAGGGAGCATTAAAGATATGCACTCAGCATTAACTTAAGAATGGTGTCAGTCAACCTTATAACTAGAATTTCTATAACAGGTATAAAAAAAATGTAACAGATGCATCAGTCAGCATTGGCTGCAGAACTTTAGAGATTAAGTTTTATTATATTTTAGTTTTTGACTATTATTTTATTAACAGAAACCGTACCGTAAATATTTTCTGCGCACTGATGGGGAGAACTTCCCCAATTATGAAGCATTGGTCAATCAACTACCATTCACACACTCGCCCAATACGGATTTCCATTTCCAACCCTGTATGAATCCGTATTTGGTCACTTACTGACTATTCTTTCTTAGATGAACCTATTGAAGAGAAAATATGTTTAATTCTGTGTGAATCGAAGTAATATCTTGTTTACATATATTTCTGTCTGTATTCGGAACTACCAAGTTTAAAGAGATAAAAAGGTAAAATAACTGACACTTATAGATATTTTCATTCCACAGATGTTCAATAGATCTCCCTTTGGTGTGAAGAATTTATAAATACTATAATTGCAGCATAAGATCGGACTTACCTTTCTAACCCGAAATTCCTTTAAAGTTATGTTAACTAAAGAGGAGAATTTCACCACTTTTGACTTCAAATATATTAAAAACTCAAAAATTAGTAAGATTATTCCCAGTGGGAATCACTGTTCTTGTAAATTCATTATTCATTATAAAAACAGAATTTCTTAACTGGACTGCTGAACATCATTGTAGATATTCAAATGTTGGAGCAAAACGAACTTTTAAACCAAACAACTTCACTGCGCATCACAACATAGCAATACGGCGTCCCGTTCATGTAATAGGCACAGTTTTATTCGGAATTCATCTCAAATGTAAATATAAATTATAAACAACAATGTTAAAAAGTTCACTGGGAAATGAACTTTTAGTTGGTACATGATCAACTAAAAGTTCATTTCCCAGAGACCTTTTAAACTTTGTTGTTTCTATCTTAAAAAAACCCACTTTAATATGCAATTTGCAGTGTTTCGACTCCAATAGGCAATCCTAGGCTGATTCCGCTACACTCCATTCAAATTTCGGATATGATCAATGGAGTAATACGTATCAGATTGATACATATCTCCGCCGGAAACTGCCTTGTCACTCATGTCATATTTCGCTCAGCATAACTTTCTTTAAAGGGTTTGTTAATTTGTCTAATCCTGCAATGTAAATTGCTTTTAACAACACAATGTGAATTGCTTTTACCTACAGTACTAGTCATATGTTAGGTGTCCTAAAAGGCAAGAAGACATCGTTGGAGTGCCTCAAAGTAACTCGGATTTTAAAAATATAAATCACATATATGTCAGACGAAAATAAATAAAGATACTTTAAAATGTTTAGGAATATATCTTGGAACCAACAAAGAAATTTGTAATGAAAAAAATTGGATATGTAAACTAAAGGAGTTTGAAAAAATATTGGATTCATGGAGATGCCGAAAACTTACTATTTTCGGTAAATGTCAAATTGTGAACTCGCTTATTTTGTCAAAAATGGTTTTTCCTGCAACGGTTTTAGAAAATCCAGGCAATGATTACATCAAAAGTCTGAATAAGCTCATTTTTTCATTCCTATGGGGCAATCGAGAACGCATTAAGCGACTTACATTAATTCGAGAAATTAAAGAGGGGGGTGTAGGAGTTATTGATCCGGACACCAAAATTAAAGCTATTAAAGCAGCCTGGGTATCTAAACTTCTACAAAATAAGAGCAGTCTAAGTAAGCTTTTAAATGCAGTCTTAGCAACTCATAAAATGAATATCCAATATATTGCAGAGTCAAATGTACCAAAATTTTCTGACTTCAATAGTCTGAAAGGGCTTTCACAATTCTACAAAGACGTTTTTACTGCCTTTAATGAAAGCAAGACTTTAAATAACAATGAAACAATAGACAAAATTTAACGACAAAATATTTGGTTTAATACAAACTTTAGATACAAAGGGAAAATCTTGTATTTTCAGAACTGGTACGAAAGCGGCTTTCATTACGTGAAAGATCTTGTTAATGATACTGGTTTTAAATCGCTTAATGAAATAGCTGAAAAACTTAAGTCAAAACGAAACTATCTTTGTGAATATTTAATATTAAAAAACGTTTTTTATTCTAAAATATATGGCGATACAAGTATGGGAAAATATATTAATATCAACAAAGAGTTTCACTTTAAATTACAAGGAAAATTAGAAGATATAAGTAAAACAAAATCTAGTTTCTTCTACAAAATCTTAATATTTAACAAGTCCGAAAAGCCTATCATGGAAAGTTTTTGGGAAAGGGAATTTAGTGATACAAACCCACTGTGTTGGCGAAAAATATATGAGGAAAAAATTGTAAAAATTAATGACAAAAATATTTTAAACTACTGCACAATATGTTACCAAATAACTTGTATCTTAGTAAATGGAATAAAAATATTGAAAAATATTGTTCTCATTGTCAAGAAATAGAAAATACAAAACATATGCTTTTTGACTGTATACTTATAGAAAATATTTGGAAACGAGTGTCTGTTGTACTTAAAGTTAATATTTTTTGGAAACATCTTGTATTGGGTTTTTGTTATCATGGAAACCAAACAAGCACAGTTTTGAATAATGTTGTTTCTTTCATAGCATTTAAAATTTTTAAATATAAGATGAAATGTAAATTATTAGAAGAAGAAATAACAAGTGATGGGCTTAATTTATTTTTGAAGTCATCGCTTGCTAACTTTTACTTTGTTAATCGGCAAGCACAAACTATCAAATTTGATTATTGTATGCTAAAAACTCTGTCTGAAAAATTGTAAATTGTTATTTTTATTATTACTAGCAGTTTTTTTTTTCTATTCATCACTCACTACAGGATTAGCCAGTAATCTTGTATTTCGGAGGTATATTTATGATATGGACTCTGTGGTGTGTAAGGATTGTACCTCCGAATTTGTGAGTGGTCCATCGTCTTATTATATGACATATAAGAAAAGAACAACTCATATATATTATAGTAAGAATATGTGAAGTAACAATGAGTATTAGTTTTTTAAAGACACAATCCATATATATAACGATATGAATACTTTTAAAAATATTTTTGAATCTACATGATTATATTCTTTGTATATTAATATACATATATGTTTTAAATTTCCAATCCAGGGGGCCCCTGGCACCCCAGGTGAGGAATACACGGAGGACCTCTTAGGAGGTATTGCCTCAAAACTTAACTTGTATTTATGTTGAATAAAAACTCTGAAAAAAAATATATAAATTCGAATGATATTCAAATAAGATAACATTACTGAATAAGGAAGATAGTATAACGCCTTTGACGTTCGAGGTAAGTGTGTGAGGCACGAGCCGCCCTTCGAAGTGTTTTGACACAGAAAGACGACACATCGATGAGTCTAAATAAGCATTTCATTTTTAGAGTCAAACATTTATTTCAACCGTACAGGATTGATACGTGTTTCTGATCTGATAATTTAGTATGCCGTTCATGATTTAATATAGTATTGAAGAATAAAGTCCGCAGCATTTCTTTGATCTCGACAATAATCTTGGCAGAATAAATAATAATTATGAGTGGTCACAATTGGTAACTTTGTGACATACCTCCGCATCAGTGTTTCCCGACACACCATACATGTAATAACCAGACTGTTAATGACAATTTGATACTGAAGATTACATAATTATATATTTTAACACAAGAATCACACATTCCTAGTAACTGAAAGTAATATTATACATATAGTATGTATGTATATTAATACACACAAACACATTCAAAGCAGCAAATATAAAGTATTTTTTCTTACAAAGATAACTTTATCATCTCTTTATTATTCATATCTATCTTAAAAATCTTCATCTGCTTTTTACCAAGTGTCTAATCTTATTTAAAGTTTATTCTTTAATATTTATTTAAAAGTGGGATAAAAATGTTTTAGTCAATATTTGGAATTTCTAAAATTTGTAAAAAAAAAAAAAAAAAGAAAAAAAAGAAAAAACAAATAAAAAATAAAAATAACAGCCGTTACGGTAGCTCGGTCGTAGAAACGCTATCTCCGAAATCGGAAGGTCGTGGGATCAAGTCACGGACGCCACTGACCTTTGTCGATGAAAATATGTAGCAATATTTTCTTCGCCAAGCTCTAACTCTTTAAAGTGAAGGCTGTAGATCCTTTGAATAAGACATAAAAAGCGAGGATCTGTGACTCTGAAGGCATTTGCACCATAAAATCCTCTTTACTCAAAGCCCTGAGTGTAGTACAAAGTTCTAAATTTCAATCCCTTCATCGGTATATGGTGACATTTCCATATGAGTGAAAAATTCTCGAATTTGGGCATAAAGCAACAATCAACCAATTATTTAGAATAGCAAATATTAATGCGTGTTTTTATGAAAGTGCGCAGAATCTTTCAAGATTCCTTCTACCATATCCCCATCTACTTCTATCCGTATCCTTAGCAGTTCTTGAGTTATAAGGTGTGATAGACGGACAGTAACACATCTAGACAGACAGACAAGCAGCTACTTATATGTGGTTTCAATTCTGTTATGCTTGTCTTGGAAAAGATCTTGTGCGATTACTTGAATTGTCGCTATAAATAACCCTTTATCTTTATTTTCTTTCTCGAGTAACCGATTTGAAAGCATTCTATGTTTGTTTTATATTAAGGGAAATATAACACAGAAAGTTTATTTAAGCAAAAAGTTTTTTTTTTCTACCAAAATAAAACACTTAACAAAAAGAGTGCATGCTGCGTGCGCAATTTAGAATAAAAATACCCGAGCAAAGCAAGCTTACTTCAAAAACACAAACTGATCTGATCTGCTGCGTACGGAAGTTAAAATTTGCAAAGGTAATGCGAATTTTTTTTCTGTCTTTTTTTTTTATTTCTTTAGTTTTAAAAATGCTGATCATATTTAATTATTTATCTACTTTTTTCAAAGGTATATGTTAAGCATAGAGGAACGTAACATTTATTGGACAAGGGGGCCCTTTCTCCTGCTTTTATTTCATTTTGTGAACTTAGGAAAATGATCATTGAATATCTGGTCATCCTCTCCACTTTTTTGCAGGGTACAATTAAGGGAAATAAAAGGTGAATGGTACTGAAATAAGTTGGATCCCCCTCAACACCCCCTTCGTAGTAGGATTTTCGAACTTGGGTTATTATCCTTTAGACCACCTTTATAGTTAGTGATCTCATCATTAGTTTACCTATTTCTATCTGTTTTCGTCCGTTGTCGTTCGTAGTTCGTTATCATATGAACATTTGGACATCAAGTATTAAAACTGTGAAAATTGGCATGAATGTAATGTGCATTGAGTCTTCTACAAAGCATATCAAGGGTCGATGTCATGACATAACAGTACCGACCAGACCCAACCTGACCCAAAGCAGTCCCAGAGCAGTCCCGGGGACTGCTTTCTGGGACTGCTAAAGCAGTCCCGCAGCGGTCCCAGAGCAGTCCCACAGCGGTCCCAGAGCAGTCCCAAAGCAGTCCCATAGCAGTCCCAGAGCGGTCCCAGCAGTCCCAGCGGTCCCAGAAAGCAGTCCCAGTGGGCGGGGTTTATTAATTTAATGGGCGGGGCTAACTCAGAAATGAGATCTCCAATAAACAATGGAACTATAAAAGGCAGCTGAATTTTTGTTTAGCAGTATATCAGGAATCCTTACAATGCGAAGGTCATTTACATGTATGGGCAGTACCGCATAGATTTGAAACAGTTTGAAATAATATTTAGTGAAGGAAGAAAGCTTACACACCTACATAAATGAATTACACTGAAATTGAATATTTAATCACAATTATCTTGGGGTTTTTTGTGATTGATACTGGCTCCCTTATTTATTTTTTATACAGAAAATTAAAATTGAATTAATTATATTTCACCAGAATTAGTTTTAAATAGGTCTAATCATTATAGATCATGGCCGATTTCAATACTATCGGGATACTCTAAAGGCATTTTTTTTATTAGGGCTTTTGAAAAATTCATTGCTAACTTTGCCAAGTAATATTTTTCAGTATTGATTATTCTTTACTGACATTTTAATTTAAAAATTATTGTTTTATTTGTAAATTGTGTTAGTGACCAGTATAGAATCATAAGATTATGTTCAACATTAATTAATCTTGAAAGAAATATATACGCATTTCATTAATCTTATATTTTTTTTTTTTTTCACATTACAATTTTTACATAGATTGAAATTAGGGTCATTGTTAATTGAGCAGCATGTTCAATGATGTGTAACACTGATACGTTTACCCAAATAACATGCATGATTGATTTTCTGCCCAAAGGCGATTGAAACCGCGGGTGTTTATACCATTTTATTTATACAAATTATCGGCCAGCTGGTAAACGAAAGCAAAACAAAAAAGAAATAAATCACAATTCCCGGTATTTTTAACTGCTAATTTATTTATTTTTTTAAATTTACTTTTTTAATAACTTATTTATAAATTAAAAACTAATTCATCTGTAAATTCCCGTATAATTGTTCACATTGCTTATGTTACGGAAGAATGGTGGCATAATTTTATTTCATGTCATAAAATAAATTGTTAGATTTTTATTTGAGGGTTGCATGGAATACTCTTTTAGCGTGGTATTTGTAAAAGGTGTTGCCTTTTCAATTAAAATATCTTATATCTAAATGTAATGATTTTTTTAAACAGTGCCAAATGCAATTTTTGAGAATTTAATTTTAGATTTAATAATAAATTAAATCTACATGTAGATAATTTTTCTCATGAGTCTGAAGTTTTATACATTTTAGAAATAAAAATCTGCTCCTGACTTCCTTATTTAACAACATTATTTTTAAAAATATTCTATATTACATTTGTCTAAATATACAGTCCCTTAAACTATAAATTAACTATAATAAATGTAATCTCAAGTTATTTAAAGATTATAAGAAATCCTTGCTTATTAAACAGTTTAAACTCCTCTCTGCTGCAAGTAAACAAAACAACAGGGAGCCTTGCAAATTCAGAATACACAAGGGGGCGGAGCTATCTTGTCACTCAGAACCTTTGTCACACATGAGTGAACAAAGCAGTCCCAGAAAGCAGTCCCAGGGGCAGCTGGGACTGCTGGGACTGCTTTTCATAGCAGTCCCAGAGCAGTCCCATAGCGGTCCCAGAGCAGTCCCACAGCGGTCCCAGAGCAGTCCCACAGCAGTCCCAGAGCGGTCCCAAAGCAGTCCCGGGGACTGCTTTCTGGGACTGCTTTGGTGTCAGGTTGGGTCTGGTCGGTACTGTAAGTCTGTGACCATGGAAATTTACTTGTAAAGCCATGAAGCCAGGCAAAATATAAAATCCATTTTCCTAACATTTCACGAGTTATATAGTGTACCAGGCAACTATATAAACAGACAAACATCTTATTAGATTGACAGACGCAGAGCAAAGCGATCCTTTAGTACCGTTCTCTTCTGCAGCTTGTCTTGGAAAAGTTCATGTGAAATTAAATGATCTGTCGCTATAAATATGCCTTTATCCTTATTTTCTTATCCGGGTTACCATTCCTTCTTGTTTCATATTAAGAGAAATATAACACATTTATTAAAACAAAAACAGTCACATGTAGCGGCGTTACCCTAATGGTTAAGACACTGGACATCTAATCGACAGATCATGAGTTCGCGCCCCGTGTGTGGTGTTATTTTTATTTTGAATTTCGTTCTTTTCCTAATTTTTACCAAATCAAGATATGTGTGAACTCGACATTTATAATTTGTGATGACAAATCACTAAAATAATAATTTTCACCCATAAAAACAGTCATATCGACAGTGTAATGGTTGCTTAATGGTAGCTTAATGGAGTTTGGACATTGCCACCTGTAAGTTTACCTTAATTGTAGCTTAATGGTGGTCTAAAGGCTACCATTAAGGACCTGTAAGCCACCATTAAGCTACCATTAAGCCGCATTTAAGCACCCACTAAGGACTTTGAGATGGCTTAATGGTAACTTAATGGTGGTGTAAATGTTACTTAAAGGTGCTCACTGGTGACTTAAAGACAACCATTAAACCACCATTAAGGACCTATAAGCAACCATTAAACCAGCCTTAAAGGGTGTGTTTCATCTTGTGTGAAGTGTAAAGGTGCCTCTTCCGACATTTCCGAATTTCATGGCCCCGATGCCAGATTTTGTTGTTGTAAGAATTGGTCTCTCTTGATTATCTATGAAAATGCATCAATTATTTGAAAATATTTTCCTCTGCTCCTGGTTTTAAACAAAAGCATTCTAATGTGTTTCAATGATGCCTCTTCCGGATTATGAATTTTACGGCCAAAGGACCAGGGGTTCTTGTATTTAGGGGAAATTTTATTCATTTTTCAGTAAAAATGCATAAAATCTTTACAACTTTTTATTTACTTGGTATTAGGATCGCTTTGACTATAAAAGTGACTTCTGATATCTATAATAGACAATTGTAGTCTGTATTCATTGTGAAGCCCGAGAAAGATATTCCAATAAGTTTAACTGTCTTTTACCAGAACTACTATATTTCAAAATGTTTGGATTCATGATGTTGAAAATCGTATATCAAACTGAAATGAAGAATTAGGCAGGATTTAGCTAAGAACATATACGAATTGCATAATGTTTAAGTATTTTTTTTCTCTAGAAAAAAAGGCAACTGCTTTAACATATATTGCACATTCGGTTAATTGGGTTACACGTGATCTTAAACATTGAATGATTTTTATGTGCTTGATATTTTGGATGTTCGTGTTTGCTTTGCTCCTGTTTTGTATTGTTTTATAGACTTCTGATCTTGAATACTGTTTGTTATCTACATATGTTTCATAATTGTTTTGTATTGTTTTATAGACTTCTGATCTTGAATACTGTTTGTTATCTACATATGTTTCATAATAACTGAGTGATCACAGATAAACAAATAAGAACGAGTATAAAAATTGATAAACTGGAATATTTTTGCTTTCCCTCTTTTTTGGCCTTATTTTAATTTATAAAGAAAGATTGTAAGATAGATTGCACTTATCAATCTTATGCATCTCTAAAATTTAAAGTTTTTTTTTTCTTTTTAGAATTGACTTGCAGAGAGAGATGACGGTACATGTGTTTTCTCTATTAGCATCAATTACTCCATGTCTTCTTTTGCTGAATAAAAATGTAAGAGTATTTTTTGAACTTCCTGTATCGTGTTTTTAACAAGTAATACAGCTTTATTATGAAGTTTTACTTTTTATATTGTTACTTCTTATACTATTACTTTTTACTTTTATATATTTACATGTATAATTGTTTGTATAATTGCTTGTGCTTAAAGCTGAACACAACTCTTAAATATTAAGTAATAACCATTTTCGAAATACTTTTGATGATGTCAGCAGTCCGGGGTTCGCATTTGTTATAACATGTACAACTGATTGCTTTATTGTCACAGGTACATGTACATGTATTAGCGTAGAATGGCGACTCGTGTTTGAACTGGTAATCTTGAGTTACCTTTGCTTACATTTTATTGCAATGACGTGTATATTTGTGTTTATTTCTTTACTGCATTGACCTGTACTTCGGTATCTCACTTTCCCGCATAAGAGGAGAAATAAATATATATTTTTCTGCAAGGTGATGTATTGCATACGTCGTCTAAACTGGTGAATACACTTAACAATGACTTAGTCTGACAGGTCCTTTATTTACGAGTCTCATATACTAGTATAGCGAGAGTCCGACCAAAAATGGCGGACACATTTCTTTTACGAATTGAATTGTGTTAGGTTTTAATATAACGGTTACCGATAATTCGAAAAATCACCCCTTCTCCCCTTTTAGCCCTATTCCCTTCGACCTTCATAAAAATAGTTATGTCATCTTTTTTATTTTTTCTAAAAAAACAACAGAATGTTTTTTTAAGTAGTACTGTTAATCAGGATTCAAAAAACTTTCACGCCAATATATTTTTTATGTCTAGCAATTCTTACAGGTGAAGATTGATTGTATTTTGTTTTACTTCAATACTTTTATCACTCAGATAGAGACGTCACAATAATCTGTTGACGCTTATAAGGAAAGTTTCAAATTTTTACCTTTAGTAAGCATTTAGTGTCATTGTTCAGTGAAATATTATTGGAATCCCAAAGCCTGTCGAGACATTGGGCCTCGGTTTTAAGGTCTAAGCAGAAGGACCCACAACTTTGACTTCAAAGTGCGTATGTTCTTTTAATGACTTACATCCAGCACAGCTGAGACTTGGACTCACGACGCTACAAAACTTACGGTTACCTACGGTTACTAGTACTGAGACTCAATTAAAAAATCTATGGGTTGATTCTCAATGATTATTCTTTATTATAGAAAATACTGTTACTCGTATGTAAAAACGTAAACTTTTACTTCTAATACTACTACATGTAATGTTACGAATACTATCAATAATACTAGAAATAATACCTTGGTTCTTACGGGTGAAAAAAAATAAGCTTTAAAGAGAACAATATTTTTTGTTTATTTAACACTATGTGTTACTTTATAACAGGTAATTGCTTTGCCCCTAACATGTCCGGTATCGATTTCGACTTTACGACACGTAACGCTTTGTCCTCAGTCTGAGATGGAATGGAATGAGAGGGCTAAAGAAAAGGGGTGTGAAATTCTGGCACGTCATCAAAACTGCACATCAGCAGATGCATTTTCCTATCACTGCATTCTTAATGCAGATGCAACAAGACTTGTTGAAGTCTGCGCTCCTAAGTGGTTTATGACAGGTACATGTATGACATTTTATAGGTTCCATAAAGGTAGGTTTAGACTTTAAGAAATTTTTGACGAACAAATATTTATTTTACATAAATATGTATATATATCTCTTAAACTAAATAAAATCCACTAAGACAAGTGCCTTTGAATACTTAATTTCATACAACCTGTTTCGAGGCAAATACCTTTACATAAGACAACCAAAATTTAGCATCGAAAGTATAATCTCGCGTTTTTTTTATATGTGTACCAAAATACATCATATTTAAAGAAAAATTCATAAAAAGCAAAACTATTCATTTGCAAGGAGAATTTTTGAAGATTTTCCTAAGAAAATATCTACAAATTGATGAATCTGATCGCGGTCTTCAGAAAAAAAAATTCTAAAATTCGAATTTCGAACATTTTCAAAATAATTTACTGTTTACAGTGTACCTACCATTTTTCTTCAAAATTTTCGTCAATATTAATTTAAAAAAATATTTTATCATGGTTGATAATGATAATTATGATTTTGCATAATAATTTTTTGAACAAGTATTCCCCCATTTTTGGAAAATCAAGTTTTACGATCATTCTTTTCAAAATGTAAAAAAAGAGAAAAATATACAAAGATTACATAGTCTTAAAATCAATGAAATTAGAAAAATCAATGTGGATAAGAATTACCAAATATTTTGATCTATTTAGGATTTTGAAAATTCTAATTCTGTGTGTGAATGTATGAATCGATCTGTAGATCTAACTGGCAGAGAGCAAAGTTATTTTGCCATTTTGATAGATACGGGATAACAATAACTAGAATTTGAGAATATTGGTACATAAAATTAGAACCGGATTAGTTATGGTTCATACGTTATTAATGAACCGAAAGAGGCTATTACACTGTATTGATATTTTTGATCGAATTTAGTTTATGTCTTACATGAGCCTAGAGACGTTTCCATTTCAGGATATTGTGCACGGTTTAGTATAAAAGAGAAGAGAATAATAAACGACCCTGGACTTGACTGTACGAAGTTTGTTTCTCCGTGTCCACCAAGATACAATTCAACAGAAGCTTATAAATGTAAGCATATTAAAATAAACCTTTTTTTAAATATAGAATTCACAGGCCTGTACCTTAGATAAGTCTTCAGCCGACAAATTCTACATAGCGACAAAATACTAGTAAAATCGCGTTTACTTTTATTGCACGGATACTTTAATACCTGAGCTCGTATGAAGATTTTGCTTTTTCTACATAGACATTTTCTCATATTGGTCGACCTAAGTAACCCCCCCCCCCCCCCGCTCCCCATTTTAAATTCCAAGAATCCATGAATTTATATATGCATTCATGATAAATATGCTATAAAATGTATCCAATCTACTTCATTTCGAGTTTTTCCTTAGATCACATGAAATCGTTTTCTAGAAACATGTTTCTCAAGTCAAATGGTGTGTGAGATTTTAATTTATTATTATTATAATTATACTAATTTTTTTATTAATTTATAAAGCGCAAAATCACATATAGATTCTATGCGCTGTGAATTTATTTTAAAAAATTGTTTTTTGTTCTATTTTATAGACCAAAAATGTTACGCTGAAGTTGAGAGAACCACCAATGGGTATGTTTTTTTTAATTGACAATATCTTTAAGATATGTAATAAATGTAATATTAAAATGTTTTTGTATTTCTTTTCAGGTTAACAAAAATGAAAATTTGTAAATTTTCAAAATGTTAAATAAGTTAGATTAAAAAGTGACTTTAACCTTGTAGAAATGAACATGCTTCTTCTGCCTTTTTTTCCTCGCCTATTTTCTGGATATTGATAGTCCTGAGCTGTGTTTTACTGATTGCACTTATAACTATCATATTTATTCGAGGAAGGAAAAAAGAAGCGAAAAAACAAAACGTGGAAGGTATTAGTAATTCCTTTTTTGTTATTGTTATAGCTTTGTTAAACAACTTGCGTCAGGAACTATTTCCCAAGGCCTTTTTCAGAAAGGAGTATTTCCTGTTCATTATAAAAATAAAAAAGCTCTGACATCCAAAGCCATTTAGTAGAATATCCTGAACTCACTGGAAATTCCGTATTTAACAGTAGTTTCTTCTTCCGCATATCCGTTGTTTTTGCGTTTTTGTATACGTTGATAAATTAACTTCAGCTTAAAATGAAAAATAAACCCGTCAATCAAGACTTTTTTTAACGCTGAGAAAAATTGCAACCAACTGTTTCTTTTCTAATTAAATGGAATGATGTACATGTACATGTACATGTATATCTTGCCTTTTACTATGTAACAGTCCTTAAAGCGCTTGGACACAGATTCAAAAGCTATAATGAAAGCTAATATTTCCTCGAAAATTCGGCATAATAACATTATTGTATATGTTAATACAGCAGTTAGATCACAGTTAAGGTCATTAGGTCATTGATCTTGGTGCCATTTGAAAAAAAAAAATAATTAGTGGGGTATGCATACCAAATATGAAGCCCCGATAGCTTTCAAGATTGAACGTTATGGCGAAGGTTGAAGTTGACAACAGAAAGATAAACAGACAAACAGCCAAACAGACATACAGTACAAACAATATACGCTTTGGGTCTATTGATCTGGTTGCATAAAAACTTTCACTTTTTTCCTGGAAATTATTGAAACTACAAATTTTGGACGAGTATATTTTTAAAAATTTATAATGCAGAATTTATTCTTTATATGTTTGGAAGAGCGTTTATTCAAATTATAATCCAGAACATTCAGAGTATAAATGTGAGAAAGCAAAACTAACTCAAAATTTTTCCAAGCCGTGCTCAGTGATGCGTACAGAGTGTAACAATTAAATTGAACACACCTGTGAAACGTAAACATTAACAATAACAGGTTTAGTGCCCTGTTTTCAAAAAGTTCACGTTTCAGGGGTGTTTGTAGTTTAATAATCTTTGTGCACAATGTGGAAAATCTTGGAAAACAAAAGCAAGGTTAGCTATTCATTTTTCTGATCGATTTTTTTTATTACTTAGAGATGATACACACATGTATATGAAATTAACGTACTTTCTTTTCGGAACAATAAAACTGGATTTTATAATTAAGATACAGAGAAAAACAATCAGAAAAATGAAGAAAGTGACAAAAATGAAAAAAATCGGTAGGTTCCTTTATTCTCAAACATTGGGCCTTGATCGATTATATTTAGATATTTAAATTGAATAATTCTTCAAAATGATGTTCTTTTTACCAGTCCTTCTGAAACAGAACCCAATCTTGAAGATCATATAAACGACGATGATGGAATCACAACAGAAAGGCCAGATAACCAAAGGTAAGAGGAAAAATACTACAAACTGACAATATCATACATCGTCTTTACCGTTATTTTTCGTTTACAGTAATGAAGATGAAGAGTTAATGAAATTTGAAACTATGACTGGAAAAACAGGAGAATGTTCAGTGAAGGTAAAATAGTCAATTTTCAAAACATTTCCCTCTTCTGGCTAACAACCAATCATCTGTATTCACTAATCAATTTAAAATTAAAATGAATAGGGTGTCACAAATATAGTTATGCTGAGAGAGAAATTGTCCAAAGAGCTACAATTCCCGAAGGAGATTATTTTAGTAGTGGTTAAAGAGGATGGAATAATCTATAATGACGACACTAAATTTGAAGCTCTGAGGAGGCACCAAAGTAAAATACAATTAGTGATTGGAAAAAAAGACCGAATTGTGCATGACCCTGAACTAGACGTCATATCCAAAAAACCACTACTGAACAGGAACTGTAAAATGAGTTGTGGTCATTTCACAGGTATTTTGTTCAATTTTGTTTTCTTAAAAGTTAAACTTGACATGATTTTGATGATTACAGTGTGTTAAAATCTTGCGCTCTTGAAATTTAAATGGGGTATTTTTCATTTAGCTCCAGAGACTGCCTTTGAATACACGAAAGATAAATTGACTGAAGGAGAATCAGCTGTACTTTGTCCAACGTGTGATAATAAGTGGGAAATGTCAGAACTCGTTCAAAAATGTGATATGTCAAGGGATGAACAAATTTTCCTTGAACACCTCATATCGCTGAATCTGATAACTAAAATGCGATACAAAACATAAGCGCTATTACTTCACATTTACTGTCCGCTCTGAATGAACATGTTGCACAAATTATTTTGAGTTCATTGTTAATTGTGATTCGTAGGACAAGATATCTCGAAAAAAAATAGTTTTGTTATCAATCAATGAGTAAAAAAACATAAAATTGTGAAGGAGCTCATTTCGTTCTGCCTCGGTCAAATCTTGTGCTTCATAAAAAAATATAAGATATTTGGAAATATATATTATTATTATTTAATATAATGATTGAGGTATTCTATATGTTTCCAACAGATACTTATTTCATATAAAGCGATAAAGCTAATAATGATTTTTGTTTTTGTTTTGTCTCTTTTGTTTACAGTTCACTTAAATCTCTTTGCAAAAGTTTTATTTCCTTTCTTTAGACATTAATTTCATTATGTGTAGTTAATAAGATATCAACGGTTGAACACTGATACGTTCAATTTGGAAGTGGTAGATTACCTTTTGGGCTCCATTGATTCATGATCGTAGGGTTATAGTGCTGTTTCGGATGATCAAAAACAATATAGAAGAAACTACATATTTATCAAATTTTTTTCTGATCATAGAAAATTAATGAAACTGATATGTCGTAACAAAAACCCATATCACTAAACAAAGTTGTACTTTCATCGGAATGGCCTGCCTGACAAAATATTAATATCTCTCACATATTTTATGAATACCTTTACATTGTAAATGTTAATATTTCTTTGATTACATGTGCAAATACTTTAGTGTAATTATATTCTATGAAAGTAGTTACAAGAGGCCCCGGGGCCACATCCCTCACCTGAGCAATTGGCTAGGAAAAGCACATATCAGATCAGAACTGAAAGTTTACTAGGGGGGGGGGGGGGGGGCTTGAACTTCAACTCTCCAGGGGGTCATGATTTGTTGAGAAGAAGATTTTTAAAGATTTTTCCCTTTATATTCCTATGTAAAACTTTGATCGGCCATTTTGGCCCTACCCTTCCCCCGGGGGTCATGATTTGAGCAAACTTGAATCTACACTACCTGAGGATGCTTCCGCATGAGTTTCATCTTTCGTGGCCCAGTGGTTCTCGAGAAGATTTTTAAAGATTTTTCCTATATATTTCTATGTAAAATTTTGATCAGCCATTTTGGCCCTATCCAACCCCCGGGGGTCATGATTTATACAATTTTGAATCTACACTACATGAGGATGATTCCACATGAGTTTCATTTTCCTGGCCCAGTGGTTCTTAAGAAGAAGATGTTTAAAGATTTTTCCTATATATTCCTATGTAAAACTTTGATCGGCCATTTTTGCCCAACCCTACCCCCGGGGGTCATGATTTGAACAAACTTGTATCTTCACTACCTGAGGATGATTCCACAAGAGTTTCATCTTTCCTGACCTAGTGGTTCTTGAGAAGAAGATTTTTTAATAATGCTATTCTTTTTTCTCAAATTCATGATTTGAACAAACTTGAATCCCTTTCACTCCATGATACTTTGTAGCAAGTTTGGTTGAAATAGGCCCAGTGGTGTTTGAGAAGAAGATGAGAATGTGAAAAGTTTACAACGACAACGCCGACGACAACGACAAGGACGACAACGACAGACAACGGACACATTTTGATCAGAAAAGCTCACTCGAGGCTTTGGCTCAGGTGAGCTAAAAAGCACTCAACATAATTTTGGGACACTTTTATAGGTTGCTAAATTTGCTTTTACATGTATATGGACACACATGTAGATGTATAATGGATAAATGGATTTGTCGCATACAATATGTATAGAAATATCAGACAGGTTCAAGCCCGTAAAGGCGGAAAAACTGAGTTGTTTTTTTTAATATAAAAAAAGAATCTTTGTGAAACATATGTTGTACTTAAGGTATTGCTACTTGAATTACACTTCGATTTAAATGCTCAATAAGGCAATTCTTCAAAAAATATATGCTTGAATGAAAAGTACTATGCATTCTTGAATCAGTAAAATAACTGGAAATAAGGAGAAAAAGTTCATAAAGCAAAAAAAAAAATAGGAGCAGAGCAAACACTGAGCTCGAAAACATCAGAAATGGGATTAGGTGCTATGAAGAAGTGAGCATTCCTTTGACCACCGGTCAAAACCGCCGTGTGCAACCTGTCATGACCCTGAAATAACGGAAAATCCGTCGTTTACTCTGTGTGTAAAAATATACTAACAATAAATCTGTTAAACAGCAATTGACTCAAAGCTTAATTGTATTTGCTGACAACGTCATTAAATCGACCAAATAACTTACGAATGATGACTTTCAACGAATCAGCCGAAATTCTTGTTTCATCAACATGTTTGTCAGTGATAAACCTCATATTAGAAATTGTACATACGTAAAACATGCTTTTGTGTTTTGAATCAATTGAGATTTACAAACTCCTTTTGCGGGTAATGCAGGTATATTGCTACATAAGTAAGGGAATTTGACGATTGAAAAGTCATCTCGTTTATCATACAGCTTGATTGGTAGATAACCATTAACGTATTTTTCAAGTGAAATATCGAAATATTATTCAGATTGTTAGTCTCTGTATTATCTTTTATCTCAAGCTCACCAGAATATATAGTATCGACATACAAATGAAAATAATAGTTACTATTCTTAATTGACAATACGTCGTCGATATATCTAAATGTCCTTTTTACACGTTTACGATTTTGGACAAAGATTGCTTTATAATTATGGAAATATGAGGTAACATAACTGTTTGGAATTGATAATAAGACTGATATATCCTCACCAAGTGTATACACAGAGCTTGAAACATTGCATTTGATTATTACACAAACCGTTTAGTAAACGTAAAGGAAAGAAGATGTGTTTGTGAAACACTGATGCCCCCGTATGGCAACATAGCAAAGATTAAGCTTTTCTCGATTGCAAATTTAATCAAATAGTACCAAAATTAGTGTATTCTCACTGGAAAACAATTGTAAAATCTAAAAGTAACCAAATGTTAAAGTTTTTTTTTCTGATAAGTACAAAAGTCACCAAGGTCAAGGTCAAAAGGTCAATGTAATAAGTATCGAATGAAAGGTCCTGCCACATAGAGTACTTATGTTAAGCATAAAAGCCCTTGCCCTAACCATTCAGAAGTTATGGCAAACATTTATTTTTTTTAAAAAGTGGGTCAAATGTCAAGATCAAAGTTCTTGTTATCAAATGAAAGGTCATAAGAATCAAATGTGTAAAGTATGAAAGCACTAGCAAGGTTTGCTTTTTTAAAGTATGTCAATCTCAAAAGTCAAGGTAAGAGGGTCAAAGTTCTTGGTATCCAATGAAGGGTTTTCTCACAAGAAGTATATATATAAAGCACGAAAGCCCTATTACTTACCGTTTAAAAGTTATGGCCAAGGTTAAAGTTTTTTCACAAGAACGGAAATCTACAAGGTCAAGGTCAAAGGGTCAAGATTGTTGGTATCCAATGAAAGGTCTTTCAAAAAACATTACATATATGAAGTATAAATGTCCTAGTATATAGTGTTCAAAAGATATGACCAAAATAACATTTTAAAATTTTCATGTAAAAGTTGGTCAAACTCCAAGGTCAAAAGGTCAAATTTGGTGGTACCTAAAGAAAGGTCTTGTCACAAGGAATATACATAAGAAATATGAAAGTTATAGCTCCATTAAATCAAAAGTTATGGGCAAGGTTAAAGTTTTTGCTGACAAACAGAGAGACAGACAGAGAGACAGAGAGACTGACAGACAGACTGACGGACACGACAAAAACTATATACCCCCAAAACTTCGTCACGGGGGCATAAAAACAGATTAGAATTTTGATTTAAAGAATATAGACAAATAAAGATAAAGAAGGTTTAGGTTTACAAGGTATTTAATTCAATTATTGGTTTTGAAAATAAACTTTCAGGCAAATATCAATGTTTTAAGGGGGAAGCTTGAAAAACAAGATGTGTTTGTAAAACACTGATGCCCCCGTATGGCAACATATCAAAGATTAAGCTTTTATTAAATGCAAATTTAATTAATTGGTACCAAAAGTAGGGTATTCTCACTGGAAAACAATTATGAAATTTGAAAGTAAGCCAATGTTAAAGGTTTTTAATTAGTACAAAAATCTACAAGGTCAAAAGGTCAATGTAATTAGTATCAAATGAAAGGTCTTGCCGCATAAAATACTTATGTAGAGCATGAAAGCCCTAGCCCTAACCGTTCAGAAGTTATGGTTAACGTTCAATTTCTTAAAAAGAAGGTCAAACTCCAGGATCAAGGTCAAGGGGTCATAGTCATTGTTATCAAATGAAAGGTCTTGTCATAAGGATCAAATATGCAAAGTATGAAAGGAACTAGCCCTAAGTCTTTAAAAGTTATGGTCAAGTTTGCTTTTTTAAAGTAGGTCAATCTCAAAGGTCAAAGGGTCAAGGATCTTCATATTCAATGAAAGTGTCTTTTCACAAGGATTACATATATGAAGTATAAAAGCCCTATCTCTTACTGTTCAAAAGTTATGGCCTAGGTTAAAGTTTTTTCACAAGTATAGAAATCTACAAGGTCAAGGTCAAAGGGTCAAGGTTGTTGGTATCCAGTGAAAGGTCTTTTAACAAATATTACATATGTGAAGTATAAAAGTCCTGGGGTCTACTGTTCAAAAGATATGGCCAAAGTAAAATTTTAAAATTTTTCTTAAAAGTAGGTCAGACTCCAAGGTCAAGGTCAAAGGGTCAAAGTTATTGTTATCAAATGAAAAGTCTTGTCATAAGAATCAAATATGTAAAGTATGAAAGCACTAGCCCTTACTCTTTTAAAGTTATGGTCAAGGTTTGCTTTTTTAAAGTAGGTCAAGCTCAAAGGTCAAGGTCAAAGAGTCTCACAAGGATTACATATATGAAGTATGAAATCCCTATCCCTTACCATTCAAAAGTTATGGCCAAGGTTAAAGTTTTTTCACAAGTAGGGAAATTTACATGGTCAAAGGGTCAAGGTTGTTGTTATCCAGTGAAAGGTCTTTTAACAAACATTACATATGTGAAGTATAAATGTCCTGGTGAGTACTGTTCAAAAGATATGGCCAAAATAAGATTTTAAAATTTTCATGTAAAGGTGGGTCAAACTCCAAGGTCAAGGTCAAAAGGTCAAATTTGGTGGTACCCAAAGAAAGGTCTTGTCACAAGGAATACACGTATGAAATATGAAAGTCATAGCTCCACTTAATCAAAAGTTATGGGCAAGGTTCAAGTTTTTGCGGACAAACAGACAAACAGAGAGACAGACAGACACGACAAAAACTATATACCCCCGAAACTTCGTTTACGGGGGCATAAAAAGAATCTGACAAACAACTATCAAAACATAAACCGTTTCAGTCCAAAAATTAATTATTCTTAAAGGGTCAGAGTTTGCAAACCTTTTCCGTCTGAAATTTGCAAGAATTCGACAACAAAATGTTTGTGTGCAGAATG